TCGAAATGCGCTTCTGACCAGGGTTCTAGGCGCGGCATGGTGACCGCAGACCCCACCGTGGATATCGTTCAGCAACCGCTTCCCTTGTTCAATGGGGATGCAGCGCTGCAGGATCCCGGTGTGGCTTCGCCTATAGAGCTCGTCCTCAATAAGGACAAAGGACTTGGCGCGACGCGCGAGCCGTCGAGCCTCCGTTTTGTTCGTCGGCAGTGCCTCACGGAGAAGGTAGTCGAGGTAAGGCATCCTCTAGTCGGCCAGAGTGTCGGGCTCTATTGCTGGATCCTCGTTAAGCTCCATGACTTCGGGGGCAGATGGAGCCAGCGGCTGGTTAGCCCCTAAGCCTAGGGCCGGTGGCCCGTCACCGGTCTATTCCGGCTCCTCATAGCAGACCGAGGGCTTGTACTGATCGCTGGCGAAGACGCCCATCAGCATCGGCTCTCGGCCGGACGCCGTTTTTGCCAGCGCGTCGGCCGCCTTGTTGAGACGCCTCAGAATGTGATTGAGCTCAAGACCGTCGAACTTGTCCTCTAGCTGGCGGACTTCTCGGCAATATGCAGCCATCTTGGCATTGTGGTAGCTTGATTCCTTCGTGACTTGGTCGATGACAAGCTAGGAGTCACCCTGGACGTCAAGCCATCGGATACCCAACTCGATGGCGATGTGCAGGCCATTGATGAGCGCCTCATATTTGGCCACATTGTTGGAGGAGGAAAAATAGATGCGAACCATGTACCTCATGCATACCCCGAGGGGCGAAACGAAGAGCAGCTCCTCGCCGGCGCCTTTCTTCATCAGCGATCAGTCAGCAACTTGGGACTTGATGGCTGTCCTGGGTGTGCAAACTATTGGGCAGATGCAATATTATAATATTGGGTGTGCAAACTATTTTTCCATTTTATTTATTTATAATCATGTCTAACTCATTATAAACAAACTTTTAACATGCACACTTATAAACTTCAAAATAACTATGAAGTATTTTCAAACTAAATATGTGATGACTACTTTCATAACTTTTGATAACTCACTTGGTGACTAGGTACGTATGGAATGAAAACAAGTCTATATATGTATTTATAGCGTTATGGTGGCAACCTTCTACACTTTTCTATATTTTAGAATATCTCTCATGTTTATCTATTCCCCATATATTTCTCATTACACAAAATATCTAGATCTAGAGTATTCCATGTAGAATATTATTTGCGTTTATTTATTGCCTAGATATTTCTCATGCAAAATATCTAGATATAGAGTATTATATTGTCTAAAGTACGATGGTATGTCTTATGCATACTCCCATTTATCTGGAAAGTTTCTCACGTAGAAGTTTCCTATTCCATAAGATACTAGGAAGGCAAATGTGTCACACCCCTAACATTTTTTCTAGTATGATAATATTTCTTTCCTCTTAATAAAAGTAATGTTTTTTATACTCTAGAAGTTGTTTCTAACCCGAAAACATATTTTACTACAAAGGGGTAAGTAAAAAATGTTCTACCTGTAGGAAAAACATTTGTTCCATAAAGGACAACTAGTGTCATGTAAGAGTGCCCTAATTTATTAATTATGTAGTATTATTATTTGTACAATACTTTTTTCAAATGCATAATTGTTTTTATGGTCAAACTATTTCTATTCCTATCCTGTCATGTCAAGCCTTTTTTTGCTCTTGTCTCATAGCGATGTCTTTTTTTTGTGACCGTCTCATAGCGATGTCTATCTTTTCAACTTGTATACCTTTGTTTTTGGTTGGAGCTTTTCTATGGACTTAACGCCACTATGTGCCTCTAGGGTCTTTGTGCCTTGCGGATAATAAACACTCGCTTAGCCAGATTGTTTTAAGGTTGATAAAGTGTGACAATTCTAACACATGAAAGTATTTTGCAACCTAATCTTTAACCCTGTTACAACATAAAAAACCTCGATAAATTATAGAATGAAAAGAGAGTGTTACGAAGACTCAAAATTTTCAAGAGATATTGAAGTGTTAGTACTCTTTTATTAGTTCTTGTTGGAGCATGAAATTTATTTAATGAGTTCATACCATTTTTTTATTGATGATAGCAATGTTCCTAGTTCATGGGAACTATTGTTTCATGTTTAGCACAAAAATATTTAATATTCACTTGGGAAATTGTCACAAAGAGAAAATTGTTTTTATTTTAGAAAAATGTTGTCATCGCTTCTTGATTTGTGAAATTGGTATATGTTCTTGTGAAAATGTCTTTTAGCTTCAATAGAAAAATATTCAACCTTAATAAAATATAAAAAGTTCTATTTACTTATTTATAATGTACTATATATTTACTAGCCACTGATAATGAAGAGAATAGATATGAAATTTCTGTTATGTTATTTAAAACAAATGTTGTACTAGCCGTTGATAGTGTCCAATGAAGAGAATAGATACATGAAATCAACAAGAATAATAAAAAATTAAAAGAGAGAGAAATAAAAATTTAAAAAAAACAGAAATTTTCAACGAAACTGAAAAAACGGCCCACAAGAAGCCCGTGCGTTTTTTTCCGCCGTCGATGCATAACCTGCTTCCCCTTCCGTCCACTGCATGCCTCTTCCCTCCTCGTTCTGTCTCTCTCTCGCTCGCTACCCTCTCGCTCTGACGACTGTTGGGCCGCCGCCGCCCTAGGCCAGGTGCTGAGGCTTTCGTTGGTCTCTTCGCCGGCGACGAGCACCCAACAGGTACTCCCACCCCTTCTCTTCCCTTCCCTTATGCTGTGCGAAGCTGAGCACCGAAACCCTAACCTAAAGCTATTTAGCTATTTGACACGCCTCCTAACTTCGAAGTTTTTGCAAAAATTATTGGGTGTACATGTGTACACCCATGTCCCTTTATTGGATCCGCCCCTGCTGGGGTCAGCCCGCCCGTTTAATTTTTCTGGCAATGAAGATCGGTGGGCATCGAGGTTTGACCCTCTTCACCTTTTCTTTAAGGACTGTCTTCGCGCTGAAGTTTGCAAACAGAGCAACAGACCTGAAAGTAGCAAGTAGAGATAGCTGCGATCTCGATCGTGTTGCTTTCAACTCATCTATGCATGCAAATCACACCGCACACTCAGTGACTAAATATTAGAAGAGAAAATAAATAAAATTATAAAAAGCTAGTATTGAACAAAGATTAACAAATTACAGATTCTTCAACAAGGATTTGATAAAAATGTTAGTAAGCCATGCAGTTTAACACCAACTGGATTTGATCAAAATGTTATCAGATCTCCTACAACAACACTTGTCTCTTGGAACCAGGAGCTATCTACAAAAGCAAGTGAACAAATATTGAACAATCATAGCCAGTGCATGTAACATTTCCTTGCATAAACATGAAAGATTTGGTCAATGACCACTATCCTCAGGAAGGCTAGTGAAGTCTGCTCTTGAGAGTATTTTCATGCAACCATTCCTAAATGTGTTCTGACAACTGAGCTCAAACAATGGGCATTGACCTTCTGAGCAATGGAGTCCAACTTGCCAAGAGCCTTCTTTACTAAGAGCTCACTTGAGATACCTGAGGATTAAAGCTCACAAAACAAGTTACCAATATCAATCAGTTAGGAAAGAAAGAACTCTTTCGTTGGCTTACAATAAAAGCTGGACCAAGCGGTCTGTTATCTAAAAAAATCAGTTAGGAAAGGAAGATACTGTCCAAGTTGAAGGGTTTCCACATTGACAACATCAGAAAGCTCACATGACAATATCAGAAAGTACATGCACTTGATCAATTTGACCACTTGTCTGACACCCTGCATATCTACCTTACTGTCTAAGAAAAGGGCAACCGACCTAGGGAAGTCGGCAGCTAGCTAATTACGACAGAATACGATTATTACTAGCTAGATAGGTGGTAAACACAAGGTTTACTCTAACATAGTCTACTATAATGCATGGCGATGTGCAGTACACACTACAGACACATGCCCTTGGTTTTGGTCTGATCCTCGAGGCTCTGATCTGTCGACGCGTGCACATTTTTTCAGAGTTCTTGCCAGGAGAAGCAGAGTTGCATGCCAACTACTTGAAACAATTCATACATGCTACAAATCCTTAATGAAACCAACCAAGTTGAGGTGCTTCAGATATTCACTACACATGCTTAAAGTAACCTATTAGAAGAAAGTTGTGTTCCCCACACAAGTTACAATCTGCTAATAGCCGAGAACATTACCACAGTAAAAACTCATGGCAGCTTGCTAACCAGCCTTTATACAAACATGACTTACCCAAACTGAAATCAAGAATAATCCAACCAGACATGACATCAAATTGTGGTTAATGATTCCAAGCAAGATATTACTTCAAAAGGAAGTGGAAAGATTTTTATTTGAGTTTGCTTTCTTGAGGGTTCCCCGACAATAGTGAAGGTGGTGGATCCACTTCAAAGAAAGCTGGTAAAATCCACCAAGAAATATAGAAATGAAAACCTAGCATCTCTACTAATCCTCTAATCGGAACCAACCCGACATCTAGAAAGAAAAACGAAGCACTTCAGGGTCTCAGGGAACAGGAAGGTGGAAGGAGGAACCTTTTGGACATGTTCGGTGGTGATTCCGGTGGTCGGTGTCATCGCTTGTGCCTGCATCTGCAGGGGCATCGGCTACTGCTTCTCTTCTCAGCCACGAGCCGGGAGGTCACAAGTGAGGCGGAGGGGAGCGGACGCCACCACTCATGAGCGGGGCAACCCTAGGGGTCAATTGGGCTCAACAGGGTTCCGACCCTTTGGACCCTCTTCCTGTTGGGGTCAGCCCGCTCCGAACCATGGGCTCAGTCTAGGAGTGGCGTGTTTGGGAATGGGTCGACCCGCCCCCCGTGCATGATAGTATGTCAGTGTTCCATGCTTGCTTTTCTCTAGTATTACAAGTTCCGAAATGCTCATTCGTATTTCATAATGAAAAATTAGTTCAAAAAATAGACTTGAGTGTTGTGTTCTCAATCTTCTTTATTTTTCCTGGTTAGGTTGTCTATATTTCCTTCCCTTTTTGAAAATGGATCATAGTTCTGACGAAGATACAGAATTAAGTGATTCTGAGATTGATGATTATGAAGGAAATATTTATGCAAGACTGATGTCAGGAGATTTAAAGGTAAAGAAGAATGGAGAAAATTACAGTTGTCTCTTCTGTAGTAGCAAGAAGAAGAATAATTACAGTAAAAGTAGTCTGGTTCAGCACGCCTCAGGAGTAAGTGCAGCACCTAATCGGAAGGCAAAAGAAAAAGCAGCCCATCGTGCCCTCTTCAAATATTTGAAGAATGATCTTGCTAAATCACCTGAACCACAGCCACATGTAATTCCTGTGGAGCCGCAACCTCTTCAGAACAGAGATGAGAAGTTTGTGTGGCCCTGGATTGGTGTCCTAGTTAATGTGCCTACTGAATGGAAGGATGGGCGCCAAATTGGAGAAAGCGGAAATCGTTTGAAGGAGCAACTATCACACTTTTGCCCACTAAAGGTCATCCCGTTATGGACTTTTAGAGGTCATACAGGAAATGCTATTGTCGAGTTTGGAAAGGACTGGAATGGTTTCAGAAATGCACGTACCTTCGAAAGTCACTTCGCGGCAGGAGGATATGGTAAGAAGGACTGGACTGGAAAAAAGAATCAAGGATCCGAGCTCCATGGATGGCTTGCGCGGGCTGAAGATTACAATTCTCCAGGAATAATAGCAGACCACTTGAGAAAAAATGGTGACTTGAAGTCTGTCAATGATCTTGCAAAGGAAGGAGCACGTAAAACTGACAGGCTTGTTGCTAATTTAGCTAACCAAATTGAGGTAAAAAACAGGTACTTACAGGAACTTGAATGCAAATACAGTGAGACAACTGCATCACTTGAGAAGATGATGGGGCAAAGGGAACAACTTCTCCAGTCATACAATGAAGGTTTATGTTATTCTTTTTGCTACTTATTCTTTTTTTTTTCACATGGGTCTAGTTGTATTTCCAGTTTTCTATCATCAGCAGCTGCGAAGTTTCATTTGAAAGATCAATTAATAAGCATAACCATTACCAGAAATTAGCAAGATGCAGCAGCTAGCTCGCAGGCATTCTCAGAAGATCATTGATGAGAATCAAAAGCTGCGTTCTGAACTTGAGGCAAAAATGAATGATCTTGATGTGAGATCCAAGCAACTTGATGAGCTTGCAGCGAAAAGTGATTATGACAGAAGGAACCTTGAGCAGGAGAAGCAGAAGGTGTGTGATTTCTTCCATCTTTTCATCTTTCCCTCTTTAAAAGAATTGAAAGAGTTGATTTCCTTAGTGTCATATTAGTTTGAGACATGTTAGATGATAGTTCTTTTCTGTTAGCAACTTCTTCATATTAGTTATCTTCATATCTTCCATTTTGATAAGGTTGAATCAGTTAGAAATATCCATGCAAATATGTGCTTTGTTTTTGCTTGAACTCAGAATGCTATCAAATCGAGTCATCTTAAATTGGCAACATTGGAGCAGCAGAAAGCTGATGAGAATGTGCTGAAGCTTGTGGAAGAACAAAAGGTATGTACCTTGGTTCCCCCTTCTAAGATATGATGCTGTAGGTTTTAAACAATGTGTCCTATGGTAGTCTTACTGTATGGAAACTACAGAGAGAGAAACATGCTGCGTTAAAGAAGATTCTGATGTTGGAACAACAATTGGATGCAAAACAAAAGCTTGAATTAGAAATACAGCAGTTGAAGGGCAAACTAAAAGTGATGGAGCATATGCCAGGTGATGAAGATTCAGCATCAAAGAATAAAATTAATGAGCTGAGTGAGGCATTGCAAGAAAAGATAGATGAACTGGATGGAATGGAGTCACTTAACCAAACTCTGGTTATCAAAGAAAGCAAAAGCAACATTGAACTGCAAGAAGCTCGCAAAGAGCTAGAAAATGTATGTTGTTTCACTAATAAGATCTATGTGACTAATATTGTCCATCAGATTTCATGGTTATTCATCTTTTGTTCTACGGCATGCTCCACAGGGCTTGCTTGATATTTCAGGTGGGCAGGCACATATAGGAATCAAGAGAATGGGAGAGCTTGATCTGAAAGCATTTTCAAAGGCATGCCAAAAGGAGCATACAGAAGATGCAGAAGTTACTGCTGCCTTTCTTTGTTCAAAGTGGGAGGCTGAAATAAAAAATCCTGACTGGCACCCTTTTAGGGTTGTCACAGTTGATGGAAAGGAGATGGTATGAGTCTTCACTTTTAGCTACTTCCATACATGTCCCTAGCTTTGTAGCCTTCTCCTTCCATCCCACAATAAGTGCAATTCTAGTTTTCAAAATTTATCTCAAAATAAGTGTTTCTAGCTTGTGGACCACCTAGCACTTGAGGGCTTGGTTGCCCTCTGTTTCCAAAGAATAATCATTGCATGTTGGGACACTTTTTATAGGGGCGTATATGTCATTTCCTAATAACACTAATCTACCCAAATAATCATAGAACTGCACTTATTGTGGGACGGAGTATAATTTCCTCCCTGAATCGTAGAGCTGCACTGTCCTATCCTGTCAAATAGAAGTTGTTAATTTCCTCCCCTGAATCATCAGATCCCATATCTTGTATGAATATTGTTTAGTGCTACATCCTGTACTTTATCTCTCCCTCCCTCTCTCCCAAAAAAAAAAGAAACAAGGTGTGCGCGGGGGGTGGGGGGTGGGGTTACTTTATGTTTCAGTTGTAACTACTTGCCGTCATGTACTGGCAATGATATGGATGCTGACCTGTAAGCTCATAAGGGGAAGTGCTATTTGTATCCTTCGTTTCCTGTTTAATTTGGTGAACTATGCATCCTCGATCACTATCCATTTTTACGGATACCTTGCATTTTGTAAACATGCATTGGGTTATACTACCTTATTTAACTAAGTGGTGCATGCTGTGATGTAGGAGATAATTGAGGATGATGCAAAGCTTCGAACACTCAAAGAAGAACATGGAGAAGAAATCTATGCATTGGTGACAAAGGCACTGCTTGAAATCAACGAGTACAAATCTAAAGGCAGTTATCCTGTGGGGGAGCTATGGAACTTCAAGGAAAACCGGAAGGTGACTCTGAAGGAAGCTGTCCAGTTTGTCCTGAGACAGTGGCGAACAAACAGGAGGAAGCGATAGGCTCTCGGCCACTCAATGGTCTTGGCTTTCTTTGCACCTGATCTGAATGCCACGAGCTCGAGAACAAGTCACCTGGAAACTGTAGTATTAATTCGGGATAAAATCGATAGGGCGATACAGCCCTGTCGATCTGTTCCTTGTTGGGTATAAGCTGATGCTCCTATTGCAGTATCAGCGTCAGTGGACTAGGACGCCGTTGTGGCGTTATCCTTGTGCCACCTTTGTAGCAAGTATGGATGAAAACGGTACGGATATTTATTCGACCGTCCGTTCGACCGAACAAATATGAACACTTATCTGGATAGCTACTCGGATATCCGGTTTTTTTTTCGGATACGGATACTAAAACGGATATCTTAGGCGGATATCAAATACGGATGTAATATCATCGATATCCGGCGGATATCGGATAATCCGGATAAGTATCGGATATATCCGGATATTTAAAAACGGATATTATCCGGATATTTATTCAAAATTTAAAAATCACAAATTTGAACTATCCAAACTATCTTAAATGGAAAGTTGACCAAAACAACAATTGTAGATCTTGATGAGTTGAACAAACTTGGTATTCAAAACTTTTCAATTTGAAGTCATTTAGAGTTCATAATACTAGAGTCAAAGTGTTGTTTTTTCATTTGACCAAATTTGACTTGGTCAAACTTGCTCAAATGAGACACTAAATGACCTCAGATGAAAAAACTCTGAATACCAAGTTTGATCATCTTAGCAAGATCTACAATTGTTACATAGCTCATTTTCCCATTTGAGAGTTTTATCAAACACTAGTCATAAATTCTTGAATCTCATATAGACTTTCTGAAACTATGTCACACACTTGTGAAATTTGAACTATATTTTGTTCAAACTTTCTCAAATGAAAAAATGGCCTATATAAGGATTGTATATCTTGATGAGATGAACAAATTTGGTATTCAAAACTTTTCAATTTGAGACAATCTAGGCTTCCGAAAACTAGTTTGTAAACGTCGAAATTTAAAAATCATAAATTTGAACCATCCAAACTATCTCAAATGGAAAGTTGACCAAAACAAAAATTGTAGATCTTGATGAGTTGAACAAACTTGGTATTCAAAACTTTTCAATTTGAAGTCATTTAGAGTTCATAATACTAGAGTCAAAGTGTTGTTTTTTCATTTGACCAAATTTGACTTGGTCAAACTTGCTCAAATGAGACACTAAATGACCTCAGATGAAAAAACTCTGAATACCAAGTTTGATCATCTCAGTAAGATATACAATTGTTACATAGCTCATTTTCCCATTTGAGAAAGTTTTATCAAACACTAGTCACAAATTCTTGAATCTCATATAGACTTTCTGAAACTATGTCACACACTTGTGAAATTTGAACTATATTTTGTTCAAACTTTCTCAAATGAAAAATAGCCTATATAAGGATTGTAGATCTTGATGAGCTGAACAAACTTGGTATTCAAAACTTTTCAATTTGAGACAATCTAGGGTTCCGAAAACTAGTTTGTAAGCATCGAAATTTAAAAATCACAAATTTGAACCATCCAAACTATCTCAAATGGAAAGTTGACCAAAACAATAATTGTAGATCTTGATGAGTTGAACAAACTTGGTATTCAAAACTTTTCAATTTGAAGTCATTTAGAGTTCATAATACTAGAGTCAAAGTGTTGTTTTTTCATTTGACCAAATTTGACTTGGTCAAACTTGCTCAAATGAGACACTAAATGGCCTCAGATGAAAAAACTCTGAATACCAAGTTTGATCATCTCAGCAAGATATACAATTGTTACATAGCTCATTTTTCCATTTGAGAAAGTTTTATCAAACACTAGTCACAAATTCTTAAATCTCATACAGACTTTCTAAAACTATGTCACACACTTGTGAAATTTGAACTACATTTTGTTCAAACTTTCTCAAAATAAAAAAATGGCCTATATAAGGATTGTAGATCTTGAATCCATGACCATGACTCCATGAGACCCATGAAGCAATGTGCTTGGCTATTTCTACTCATGCCAAGATTGGTGCTTATATGATGTTTGATGTATGATGTATCGTATCTTTATCTTATTTGTTGCTTTACTCTTTAGTCTTTCGGCTTAATCTAGATGGATTATGGACTCATAGAGTGGTGTAATGGTTTTATGCACGTATGATATATATATATATGTCGCTTTTACTCAATATCCGAATAGATATTTGTATCCGACCTTCTCCGAATCCGATTCATACCGTATTCGATACTCATTATTCGTATCCGTAACCGAGTCAATCCGTATTCGTATATGTATCCGAACGCTATCCGTGTCCGAATCCGAATCCGAACAGAAATATGAAAACAAATATAATATGAGTGATATCCGTTCGTATCCGATCCGTTTTCATGCCTAGTAGCAAGTAGTCGTTCATGAACCGTGTGTTGTGGTTGGCCCTTGGCCGCATGCTCCCTTGGGCTCTGTACGCTGTGCCTACAAAGCTGCGGTGGAACATGCAGACGCATAATAAATCATGCTTGGGCTCTTCTTGTGCTAGCTCTGCACTTATGTTGGTGTGGTGAGAATAATGTTTGTTGATGGTTGGTGCTGCAGCCGTGGAACTTGAAGGACGGAGGGAGAGCGACGCTCAAGAAAGCCCTGTCCGGTCCATGCTTGTTTGCTTCGCTGGTAAACACCTAACTTTAATGGCTAAAGCCTGTTTGCTGGAAATTTAAGTTGCTGCAGCTGCAAAGCTTCTAGTCCATACTACAGTGCTTGACACGGGATGAATAGCTGTAGGTAGCTGCAGAAAGCCACAGCCAACAGGCAACATGTCTCTAGAACATAAATCACCTCGCCGCATGGCATCCAAACTTACTAGTACTATCTTCGAACCAAAAGCTGCCTGATGTGTTTTGGGACGGAGGGATCTAAACCGTAGCACAATCACAATCACTGGGCAAATCCAAACGCAACACGTATCCTGGTAGTTCCCAGACCGCGCCATCTGTCCAGGCGCACCCGCAGACGTGTCCCGGCAACCTCTCGCGAAAGTGCAGAAGGACGCTGAGAGAGCAAGCAGGCCGAAAGACTCAGAGAAATAACTGTCCGTCGCACGTCGAAAAACCGCAACAAGAGTCGGGGGCGCAGAGATCGCTGGGGAGATGGCGAGAGAAGCAGCGAGCAAAGCCACCGCAAGCCGCGGCAGCGGGGCGGAGGCGGTGGCGACAGCAGGGGAGTACTGGAGCGAAGCGCTCAAGTCGTTCCTGGACCACATCCCCGTCTCCTCCGTCCCGGGCGCGCTCCAACCCACTGCCTCCCCAGGTATCACAGTTGCTTCCTCTCCCTTCCTGTATCGGTAGGCGTCGGGACGATCCATTCCATTTCCTATACCCGAGCACTAAGCAGCTCTCTCGTTCGTGTTTGTTCTGCGCGCACGCGCGCAGCGGTGGAGGTCAAGCTCGAGGGCTCCGTCCTGGGCGCCCTCGACGCCATGTACAGCAGCAACGCCGAGGGCACGGTGATCGTCGACGTGGTGCAGAGCAGCTTCGGCAAGTACGTCGATCGCGATATTGGCTTCGTTGAGTTCTCGAGCCTAGTCCTGTGGGCGCTTGAGGTAACGCACCTAACGATCTAGGAGTATATGTTTTTGAAGTTGCTAATTAAATTCTTCAGTTTGCCGGCGGAGATCAAAACGTTGCTCTGAAATTCGTATTATAGATAGATAGATTATGTAGCCTGTTTTGTGAAGAATGAACGATTATTACCTTTGGTTGTCATCTGATCGTGACAAATTCATCTACTGCGTTGTTCGTTCATTCATAGGAACTTGGCAAAGTGGACAGTGAACCAACAGACAGTACTTCTGATTTCCTCTCTAGTCTGAAACAGCATCATCAGATTGCAGAAACGAAGGTGCTCCACATATCAAATGTCACCCTTCACTTATGTTTGTACACTGGAATGGATGGAACATATATATTCTGAATATCTTTCTCTTAGCGAAATAGGACGAATGCTAGGGATAAAAATGGTGATTTTTGTATTTTTTAATGTTGCGGCCGTTACTCTGATGAACTAAACAGATCGCCTGGTTAGCAAAGCTGTTCCTATGGGAACCCTTCTTCCCTGTTCGAACCCACGACACGCTCTTCCACGCGATGCTTCTCTTTTCGAAACACCACAGGCTTAACGTGGCACCTGTTGTTGAGTCGATGAACTCAAGTGTTATTGGATTTGTCACTCAGGTAATTGCTGCCTTCCTTGGTGTTCTGTTACTGTCAGTGCTCTTTTTATGCTGAGTGATTCTGGATACAGAACTCAATCGTGATGCTAATGACCGATGCGTTGCACTAGAATGCAGTGATGGAGCTGCTTCTCCAGTCAAGTGGCCTTGAGTGGCTTGATAAAATTGCAGACAAGCAGCTTTCTGAATTTAGGTAAGCCCTGTGCCTGAATAAAAAGTAGTTTAGCGCAGTTAGATGAAAATAGTTACCACGATACAGTTGTATACCTAACTACTACTGTACTATTTAGAATATCTTGTATGCATCATGAAAACGAAGCAACATATAAAGGAAGTAAACTGTATGTATGAGGTATGCTTTGTAGTGCGAACAGGTCAAAATGTCAAATGCTCCATAGGTTTCATTAATTTCTTTTTTCCTGGAGTATGCTATAAAAGAAATACCTTGTGTGGAGCTAAATCCGAACTAGTCAAGCGCATGAGCGAGCCCATACCTGAATGGTGCTCAGCATGTATATGGTACCACCGCGAACTTAAATTCTGTAAATCTAAAATGACGCATTTGACTTGTCGGCAGGTTTGCATATGTGAGGAAGCCTGTTTCGGTGTACTCAGATCAAACTCTTGCTGATGGGCTGCATATTCTCTCAAAGGAAAAAATGGGGCTTGCAGTTATCGACAGGAAAACCAGCTGTCTAATTGGATCAATACAATGCAGTGATCTCTACCTATTTCTGGATGATAGCTCCCTTTTCAGCAAGAGAACGTAAGTACTGTCATCTCCTTTTTGCCATCTTAGTTTTTCGAAATAATTAAGAATTCCCCTTCAACACATTTCCTGATTCATAGGACTACTACTTTGGAAGAATTCATCAACCTGAATAACAAGGCCGACAGCAAATGCAGCACTGCTGAAAATTCATCTGCACCTGGTCAAAACATCCTCGCCCTCAGAAACCGGCAGCCAAGTATGGTGGGCCAACCAGCCACCAACCTGAAATCCGACACCCTGAAGCAAGCGATGGAGAAACTGACGACTTCAAGGAGCAGCTGCAGCTTCATCGTCGACGAGCATGGGCACGTCGAAGGGGTGGTGACGACAAGGGACATCATCTCCGTGTTCTCCCCGCCGTGCATGGACTCGAGGATTGACGGGGGCACATTCTTCTTGGCTGCGCTTGAGCAGGCTGGCTGCCGCGTTGAGAATGGGCAGATGATTCAGATCTAGTTTCAAACAGTCCGAATGTAGAGAGGCCTTTATTTGTTGCAGTGAGTAAGATAGAGGAAACAGATATGCTATAGGGCACTCGAGTGGCTCAGAGTCTGCTAGCTGGCGAATTTGTGGCCGCTGGATCTGATTTGGTTGAGATCTTCTGCCGTGGGATCTGTATCTGGCCCTTCTTTATTTATTCTTCCTGTGACAAACGGGTCTCACATGTTAGTACAGTGTGATTTGAGGTTTTTAAATTTGTTGGATGCTCCTGTGGACGGCCCAGGTTTATCTGCTGCGGTTACGATCAATCCCTACTAGGCAACCCAATTTAAGCCTTTGCCAACACAATTTAAGCCTTTGTTTGCAGCATGATCTGTAAGTTCTGCAGGAATGGACGAAAGGAACGAAATGTACGTGTTAGCAACTCTACTGTGGATGGTACGACAATGGAAGCAACGGCCTCGCCTGTCGCCAAGCCCGTGAGGAGTTCCAGGCCCAAGAAGCCCAATAACGCCACGCTAGGAACGAATGGATACACAGGTAGGCGCGTGCATGTCTCTGTAGAGAACATAGAAGCGAGAGAGGGTGGCAATGTAAGAATCAAATCCTGTTATTCTCCTAAAACCATACCTCTGAGACTATCATGCCTCTTTCTTGTGCTCTACTACTCCTTTCCAATTCGCCCAACTACTCCGCTGATATAGAGTGGTATCAGATACGATCGATTCCTGCGGCCTTCCGGTCGTGCCAACCTCTTACACCAATCCGTCAAAAGATCGGGTTGGTCTAACTCGTTCTAAACTGTGAGCTGCAGTTTGCGTCGCCGATCATGACCACTATACCCATCTTCATCGTCGTCGCGGCGCCATGAACCCAGACACAGCTCATCCTTGATGAGCTCAACAACGGAAGTGCTAGCGCCCGGATGTCAAGATGGATGCCCGTGTCCGGACGCTCGTGCTACACTCCGTCTCCCGCGCGCCGCACTCGCTCTCGCCAACACGTCTCCGCCGGCGTGCCCCCGGACGACGCCCGCGCCGCCAGACTGCGCGCTGGGACCACTCGTGCCCCCTCCCGCTTTCCACGCGTGTTTCCATATGCAACACCCGATCTACTTTTGAAATATCAAGATGCAACATTTGCAACATAGGTCTGAAGTTAGATGAAACACTTGAAACATGCTTATGAAATACTTGCAAAAGCACCTGGAAAACACTTGAAAAAACATTGCAAATACGCAACATCTAGATAAAACAGACTTGCAGCATACGTCTAAAAAAACAGATGAAACATAGGGAATAAAAGCTTGCAACATACATGTACAACTATTGCAACATATGCAACATCTCGATCTGCTTTTGCAACATCCGCATGAAACAATTGCAACATACCTATAAAACATCTGAAACATTTAAAATGTACACTTGCAACATGTGCTTTCAGTGCAACATCTCTTTACTGCTTGGGAGAAATGGAGGCTCGTCGGCATTTGAAGTTCATCGGTGTAGAGCTCACCGGTGGCGTGGACACGATGCTGTCACGCATCACAGCCGTGCTCTGCGCCCCGCCACAGGCCCCTTGAGGCGCCATGAGAACTGGATCTAGATCCGCGCGGTGGGAAGGTGCCCGCCGCCGCCACCATCGGTGGGAGAGGGGGGGGGCTTGCTGCCACCGCCACCATTAAGGAGGAAGAAAGGGAATCATCGGCAGAATCCATAGGTGAGGAGGAAGCGTCGCTGGAGGGGAAGGAGAGGAGCGCTGCCGTTGGGAGAGGAATGGCCACCACGACCGCAGTTGGAATGGGGCGGGGCGCCGCGGCGGCCGTCGGGAAGGGGAATGGCATAGCGGCACCGCCGCGGTCGGGCTGCCGCCTCTCGGCCTCGGTTGCGTGCGGTGGAGAAAACCTTATCCTTCCGTTTGGATAATGGATGCAGCAGGATAAGGTTAGAGACGCCGTTGGGCTAGTGCCGTGGCCCACAAACACGATTGTCCGGACAATTGGACGCCTTGACCAGAGAATTTTCGTCTCAACAAACGCTTCACCCAGCACGAGCACAAGTGGGATTCGCGCTTCGCCGAGTTGGAACGCAAATCCAAGGACTCCACCGATGCCACCGCCTCGTGTATCCAAGCTTTGGAACACACCACCCAGGTGTTCGACGCTTGGCGTGTTGGGGTATGATTGGAATTCTAACGTGAGTCTTGTGGGGATGTCTGGAGGGCCCGCAGTTCAGGTTATCTTAATTAGCGGATTGTTTTCGTATTGGACTGCCGTCCATCCGCCCTGTAAATACATTTTGTAAGCCACGCGGCAAGAGTACGGAGACAACTAATTATATTCCCTATGTTTTGTAAACTCTCCTCATATAGTGAAGATCGCCTGTTGGTGCCCGTAGTTTTTTCTCCATAAGGGCTTTTCACGTAAAAATCGTGGCTCGTGTTCAATCTTTGTCTGTATTATTTGCTAACAAGTGGTATCTAGAGCTATAGTACATAAGACTATACATAAGACTAAAAATTATTAGGGTTTTATTTCCTGTCCATCCCGCCGCCGTCGCGTCGCTACTGGAAGTCGTCGAGTTCATCTCGGTGGCTTTCGAGATCGTTTGGTGGCTTGTCGTGGTGTTTAAATCCAGGGAGTAAAATTTAGAGATGTCACGGTGTCATAGGGAAGTGTTCGGACAGTAATAATAAAATAAATTACAGAAGTCCTCAGTAATCCGCGAGACGAATTTATTAAGCCTAATTAACCTATCATTAGCACATGTTTACTGTAACACCATATTATCAAATCATGGACTAATTAAGCTTAAAAAATTCGTCTCACAAATTAATCGCAATCTGTGTAATTAGTTATTTTTTAATCTATATTTAATATTTTATATATGTATCAAACATCCGATACGATAGGGAATAAACTTTAGGGGTAGAAACTAATCCAGGCCGAGTCAATCCATCTGCTGCCGCTGCATTTGCTTGTGGTTGTGAAGAAAAGGTGAAATTTGCTCCCTGCACACGTGAAGACTATCAGAACTGCTGAACGTACACAGGTTGTGTACCAGGCTCAGAGTTCTGCTAGGGTTACACATAATAAAGTATCTAGATTTCTGCAGAGTATATTTTCGATTATATTTTCTTCTGGTCATTGCTATTATTTCTTCATCATGCTGGTGAGGTATGATCTTTCACCACTGGATCGCGACACAAGGTTTGTCTATGGCAAGTCAAGATGAGGCTATTCTTACACAGGCTAAAGTCGATGATGCTCTTGATAAATTCGGTAACAAAGATTTCAAGTCTTGGACCGATGAGGATAAGAGAAAAGATCGTAAGGCCTTGACTCAAATTCAACTTTATCTATCAAACAATATTTTGCATATCACTCCCAATCAGGTGGTAAGATGGAAAGGATTAATGAGTGCCTAGAGAGTTACTCGCGATGCTATGTTCACGCTTATCCATCTAAATGGGATAGTTGGGTGCCTTCGGCAAAATTCTAGTATAACACTTGTTTCCATTCAGTTATGGCCATTTCCCGTTTGAAGCCCTAGATAGCTATGCTCCTCGTCTCTTGGCACTAGATTCTGCATCTGCTTCTGTTCCAGAGGCCGCGGGCTGGGCTACTGATCGACACTAGATGGATCAATTACTGCAACACCACCTCCATCGGGCTAAGCATCGTATGAAGACACAGGCGGATCAACATCGCTCCGAATACACATTCTAGGTGGGCGATCTGGTGTTCCTTAAGTTGTAGCCCTATGTGCAATCTTCACTTGCGCCTCGTGCTCATCAAAAGTTGACATATTGCTTCTTTGAACCGTTTCACGTGCTTGCCTGGGTCAATTCCGTTGCATACAAATTGGAGCTACCAGATCATTCATCTATCCACCCAGTGTTTCATGTATCCCAGCTGAATCGTGTTATTGGTGATGGGAATCAGGTAACACCTGTATTGCCAAATGATTTCGCTATGAAGCTGTCTCCTGAGCAGGTTCTCCAGACGCGGACCATGGCGCACGGTCCTCATCGTGTGCAGCAAATCTTGATCAACCGGAACAACCTACCCCGCTCCCTCGCTACTTGGAAGATTTGAAGCGTTGCGTCAGGAGTTTTCCTGTGCCACTAATTGGGAGCAAGCAGCGTTTCAGGGGGGAGGGTGTTAGCAACTCCACTGTGGACAGTCCAACAATGAAAGCAATGGCCTCGCCTATTGCCGAGCCCGTGAGGAGTTCCAAGCCCAAGAAGCTCAATAAGCGCCACGCTGGGAACGAGTGGATACACGAGTAGGCGCTTGCACGCGCATGATTGAGGCAGAGCCTCTGTAACCTTTAGATTATCTCCAGCAGGCTATCTAAACCCACTACCTATCCCATATTTAGGTAGTGGAGGCTAAAAAACGTCTCCAGCAAGCCATCTATCGACTACCTATTTTTGTTGGCCCAACAAATTTCCCTCCCACTACCTAGCTGTGTTGGGCCAATCATGCTACCTATTTTTCTTCGGCTGTTTCCTCTCTCCCGCAGCGCATCCCGCCTCGACGCCGGTCGCACGCCTCCTCCCCCTGCGGCGGCTTCCCGCCCCCGCGCCCCTCCCGACGCCGGTGGAGCACCTCCCAGACGCCGGCGGAGCCCCTCCCGACACCGGCGGAGCTCCTCCCCGTGGGAGGCCCTCACTGCCGCACCTCCTCCTTCCGTGGGCGGCGACCCTCCCGACACCGGGGATCACCTCGAAGCCGGTCGCCATTCCATGGCCGCATCTTGAAGCTATGTCTTTCCTGGTTGTCACGCCCGACCCGGGCGCTCCCCACCGCCGCTCCCCACCGGGAGCCGGCCCTCACCGGTGGCGCCCCCATCCCCTCCCCGCGACGGCCCCCATCCCTCCCCGCGACGGCGTTGGCCGAGTTCCTCGATTGCAAAAGCAAAAGGAGAGGAAGAGGATGACATGTGGGCTCTACTTGTCATTGGCTATTAAACTGAATTTGAGAGCTAGGATTTAGGTAGTATAAAAATTGA